CGCGTGTGCGGGTACCTGCTTCCGAGAGGGGCTGGCGTTCCTCCGGCCTATTCCCAGCGGGGAGTTTGCGGGTCGAAGGGGCGGGGGGGCCGCGGTCTTCAGGAATCGCCACCCTGCTTCGCACCGGGGCTGTGCTCGTCTGTACCCCACCAGCAGAGTCCAAGCGTTCCCTGTTCGCCACATCCTCTCCAGCGCCTGCTGTTCTTTGAGTCACTGATGACGGCCTTCCCGACTGGAGTTAGGTGGCGTCTCAGGGTACTTTTCATTTGCAGCTCCTTGATGACGGGTGAGGCGGAGCATTTGTTCATGTATCTGTTGGCTGCTCGGATGTCTTCCTTTGAGAAGCGTCTGTTCATATCTCTTGCCCGCTTTTTAACGGGACGGTTTGTTTTTGTTTCTTTTCGTCACACTTGAGTTCCTTGTAGATCCTTGTTGTTAGGCCTTTGTCAGGCTTGGGGTTGGCAAATAGTTTTTCCCAGTCTGTGGGCTGTCTCCCTGCTCTCTTGATGGCTTCTTTGGCCTTGCAGAAGCCTGTCAGTTTGATGAGTTCCCACCTGGCTAGCTTATCTCTTATGGCACGGGCACTTGGGGTTTTGGTCAGGAATTGCTTGCCAGTCCCAATTTCCATAAGGGTGTGTCCTGCATTTTCTAAGGTTCTTACAGTTTGAGGTTTCACCTTTATGTCTCTGATCCATTTAGAAATGGTTTTTGTGTATGGGGACGGGTAGGGGTCCTGTTTCAATCTTCTGCATGTGGTCAGCCAGTTTTCCCAGCACCATTTATAGAATAGGTTCTCCTCTCCCCAGCGGTGGGTGGTGGAGGCTTTGTCAAAGATGAGTTGATTGAGAAATTGAGGTTTTGCTTTTGGAAACTCAATTCCATTCCTTTGATCTATATGTCTGTTCTCGTACCAATACCAGGCTGTTTCGATTATTGTAGCTTTATAATAAAGTTTAAAGTCTGGGAGTGTGATATCTCCTGCTTGGTTTTTTGTTTTTGTTTTTGTTGGCGTTGGAGTCTCACTCTGTCGCCCAGACTGGAGTGCTGTGGCCGGGAGCGGCCAGGAGCGGCCACTGCAGCCTTGACTTGCTGGGCTCCAGCAATCCTTCCGCCTCAGCTTTCCAAGTAGCTGGAACTACAGGTGTGTGCTACCATACCCGGCTAATTTTTTTTGATTTATTGTAGAGATGAGGTCTCACCAAGTTGCCCAGGTGGATCTCAAACCTGTGGGCTCAGGCAATCCACTCACCTCAGTCTCCCAAGGCGCGGGATTGCAGGTTGAGCCACCGAGCTGGCAGGTTTTTTTTTTTTTTTAACTGAAGATTGTTTTGACTATTCTTGGTCGTTTATGTTTCCATATGAATTCCTGTATTGCTATTTCTAGGTCAGAGAAGAATGTTGCTGGTGATTTGATGGGTATTGTATTGAATCTGTAGATTGCTTAGGTAGAATGGACATCTTAATGATGATTCTTTCAATCGACAAGCATGGAATATTTTTCCACTTGTTTGTGTCAGCTTTGATTTCTTTGAGCAGTGTTTTGTAGTTTTCATTGCAAAGGACTTTCACGTCTCTGGTTGGGAAGATGCCAAGGTATTTCGTTTTTTTTGGTGACTATTGTGAATGTGATTGTGCTTTTTATTTGGGTTTCTATTTGTTTATTATTGGTGTATAGAAATGTGGTTGTCTTTTACACGTTTATTTTATACCCTGAGACTTTACCAAGTCGTTTATCAGTGCCAGGAGGTTTTTGACAGATTCTCCTGGGGCTTCAAGGTATAGAATCATGTCGTCTGCAAAGAGAGATAACTTGACTTCCTCTTTTTCTATTTGGATACCCCTGATCACCTTCTCTTCTCTGATTGCTCTAGCCAGGACTTCCAAAAGAGTGTTAAACAGGAGGGATGAGAGTGGGCATCCTTGTCTGGTTCCGGTTTTCAGGGGAAATGGTTCCAAATTCTGCCTGTTTAGCAGTATGCTGGCTGTGGGTTTCTCGTAGGTGGATCTTATTATTTTGAGGTATGTTCCATCTATGCCTAGATGTTCAAGGGTTTTTATCAAAAAGTGGTGCTGGATTTTATCAAAAGTTTTTCTGCATCTAATGATATAATCATGTGGTTTTTGTTCTTATGGCTGTTGATGTATTTAATTGCATTTATGGTCTTATGAATGTTGAACCAGCCCTGCATCCCGGGGATGAAGCCTACTTGGTCATGGTGGATGATTTTTGAGAT